AATTTTTATATGATTGATAGATATATACTTTAGATTATAATCTTTACTTATAAATATACGAGATTGAGTGCATCTTTTATCACTCAATTTTACTTTTACAACTTTTCTATATATATCACTGTATTACTCTTATTGTTCCTATTTAGTTGTTTAAAATATGTTTATTTTAATTTAAGTAAATCTTTATCACCTAATTATGCTTATTCTTGATTATTATGTATATTATAGTATACTATTTGATGCTCATCTTTTTAAAAGCAATAATTAAGCTATGCACTACCTTATTTATATACTACTTTGCATTATAATAATATATCACAGTAAAGTAATTGTCATATTTTTTACTACTCTGGTAGCGTTCATTTCACTAAGACTCTATTTAGTATAGTGATGATAAGTAGTTGATATTATCACTCAATATACTTATATTTGTTAGTATATAATTATTATATACGGAAGTATGAGTATGTATGTATGTATGCTACTGCTTACTCTGTGTTGCACTCTTTATCAATTTTTATATCTATATATATCTATTTTATTAAGTGTATGCACTCCATACCTATATTGAACCATTATAGTCTAAGATGTAAGTAATCTATTTCCTTTTTTCTTTTATTTGTATATAGATGGTAAATATAGATATATATATTAGTAGTAATGCTATAATCTATTAATATATTATATACCAGTTATTTTTATTTGATGTTCCGAACTATTATATATAATAAATGGTCATACTCTAGCTTCTAATTATAAATATAATCATTTAGTGCAATCAATATATATAGTATATTTATATTATATATATACTCTACAAAATTAAAATTTGTTTATATATTGTCATTTAATTTATATGATCATATTTGTGATACTGATTAGAACTTGTTCAATTCGTTAATGATTATGTCCTCAAGGGATTAACTCTAATAAGTTCTATAATTCATAATGCTATCTCAGTTTACAAGAAAAGTGAGATAGAAGATAAGGCAAATACATTAGCTTAAAATCAAAACAATAAATTTCAACATAAAAATCTGAACATCCTCACCAAACTTGTTGCAGAGATGGGGTGTACGAGAGCTCCCTTCATGATTTCTTTTTCTTGCCCGGTTGCGCAGAGACTGACAGTGAAGGGGAGAGAAGTCGACGTATCGTCTACCATGAAGGGGCATCTCAGAGGTGAACCAGTCACGTCCAAATCTACAAAGATTTTAGTTTATTAGTTGTGCTTATACATAGACAACTCCACAAGAGCTTAGCTACCATGGAGTCCATCATTAGTCCAATCCATCTCACATGTTTATCCTTTTCTTTGATTTTCTGAAAGATTCATTATTGTTATTAATATTGTTAGTAACATAATAATAATAATAAAACCAATAATATCAACAACTCGTTGACGGGTGGCATGGATAAACATGCCATGGCTGTTGTGGACTGAAAAACCGATGGCATCGTATCATGCCCATTCCCACGCCATTGGCTTGTCAGACGGAGTTTGTTTTTCTCTGATAGTAGCAGCTTCATCTATTTGGTAAAGATTTTAGGCAATAGTACCTATAATGAAGGTAAGCCTTCAAAATTATAATGTTTTTATCAATTATAGAAAAAAATGAGCTTCTAGGTGACAAATGTCGCTCACAAACTACCAAACTAGCCAAGTGCAAACAGGGGAAACTGCCGATGTGTGCCAACAATCCTATCATTACGTCCAGTTGGCAAACTTTTATACCCGTCAACATGAGTTAATAAAAGTATTTATATCAATAGCATTAAAAGAAAAGAAAAGAAAAAAAAATCCCTAAAAATCACTGGAATGATAAAAGTAAGTAAGGTCACACAGGCCAACTTATTGAATGCTTAGTGACTGAGTACATGTAGCGCCACGAATGTGAATGCAGAATTCACTAAACAAAACCACAATGGTTTATGTGTATCCAGTGCCAATGGGTTTAATACTTAACAAGAAATTTACCTAATGTCCAAACATAGATTGGAATAATTTTGAAAGACAAAATTGTAATTACACAGAAAAGCAGCACTTTTAGTACTGATAATGGCCCCAATACCTGTGGGAGCTTGATATATACCAAGGAAATTATTAGATACAATAGCTGCAATGAATTATCATGCAAATAATGACTCACATATGACTCTTAGAGAGCTCCACCTTCTGTAACTCTCCTTATACAGGGGCTATACTGAAGTCCTATGAGATCTGGAAATTCCAGTGCCGTAGCATCAAGTGAAGGTCATGGCATCTTACTGCAGTAAGCAAACTTCTACTACATATATTATCACAAAATAATGCTCGGACTGGTTCTTTACTTGACAATACACCATTAGGAAGCTCTACAAGTCCTATATTGCAAGCTGGTGCAGGTTTGCTGGCCTTCCAAAGCACTGACAAGTATGGAAGTCAACACCTGTTTGAAGCAGCTTCACTGAAATTACTGCATATACCATTTCTATAGTTGGTCTCCTCTAAACCTACCGTATCTAGACAGTTTACAACTATTGCAAGTTACTAGTACCAAATCTTTTAGCTGCAGCAAAATATAGCATATCTATAGAATTACCAGCAAATTAGAATACAAGTTGAAGGTCACATACCATCACCTGAAGATTTTTCTTTGGTTGGTGTACGAATAACTTTGCTATGGCTTTTATTATTAAGCATTCCAGGGTCATCAACACTCATTAGGCGACGAATGTGCTGCAGGACAACACCAAAAGAAACAACATTAACAGATAAGTTTCTTATATGTCTATGGGAAAGGAGAGGGGGGTTGCACTAGTATGAGAAGAAAAAACAAACAGAGGACTCTTTTCTTACTATAGGTGTGTTTTATTCCACACAATTATCATTATTACTAAGTTGAATTTATTCATTAGAAAGGCTGACAAAAATTTGCATATTCTTTTCTCCTCCAAAAATGTATTGGAATGGAAAAACTGAGTGAGAGAGTGTTGAGAAAGGGAGGCTGTTATACAGATGAGATAACATAAAACATGCGAAGTAATAACAGGGATTTTAGGAATCAGTCAAAGAAAAAACGGCAGGTAGTTAAGATCTTAAAAAGATACCTTTCTTTAAAATCTGAACCTTATGTTAACACCTGATGACACCTTTATCCTTTCCCTGCAGATTAATCTATACATAAAAAAATTACTTAAACATTATTTTGAAATCATTAAATCGGAACATAATTATCTAACTTGGTCCCTCTCTGTGATGGATGTAACAGTGTCTCAGAACAAATGACAAGCCTAAATACCAACCGGCAAACATGGCATCATTACCTCAGTGAACTTCTGCACGAGGATAATCTCTGGCTTTTGCTTGTTGGCCAAAAGGAGGATCTCTGGACAAGCTTCGCGTGAGAGGATCAGGTGTTCCCCTTCCACCACCACAGACTCTGCAGTCTTAGTGTTGCTCAGGAAGAGCCTGTGGACAAAATAATTATCTAAATATCCTGTCTAAAATATATATAGCTTTTGTTTAAAATCATCTTTTTCATGTATGTCTCTATATATTCAGTCTTCATAATATGAGGTGGGTGCACACCCCTACACTCGCCTAAATGACCCAAAACATACAAAAGTCGTACTCCCATAAAGATAATTATTTCAAACGTTTCTACAATATATTTCTTAAAATCTCAATAGAGTTGAAGTTCTGGTTCAGAAATTCATTTCGCTGATTTTTTTAAAAATAGGAAATTGAAGACAGTAAATAAAAACACAGATACTGCATGCCATCGCAAACACAAACTTACACTTAGGCATGATAAATGTCACCCGCAGCCTAATTTCATATTACAAAAACTGTAAATTGTATTTTTTGAGGTAGAATTATCAAGAAACATGTGAAATTATAAAATGTATCATTAATGTAAAAATAACAAAATCAAAAATATCAAAAAGTAAAATAAATAGAAAAACAATTCCTGGCAAAGGAGAAAAAAAATACTTGCATACCTTCAAATATGTAAAATAAAGATAATTAAATACAACTAGTATCAAAAAAAAAATTCCATCTCAAATTATTTCTTCATAATTAGCACATTACTTAATGCAAAAAAATCCGATTTACTCCACTTGCTATTATTACTCCATAACTAATACAGACAAATATCTGGAATGTCAAATTTTATACTAATATCTTCTGTATAAAATACGTATGGCATTAAAAAGACATAATCATAAACCTACAACAAGGGTAATAATAACTAAAATCCACACTTCAAAGGTCGAGAATTCACACAGAATAAAACTTCAAAAAAATCTCAAGGCAAGAAATTAAAACAATAATCACAAGGACGACACACCCTCGCCAATCTCTACGCCCTAAAATAACCCAAAATCCACTCTTATTATCGTACCTTTCTAAGACGCCAGTAATCTCACTCGGTTTCACTTCGGGCAATTCCTTCATGGTGAGTAATTACGGGTAAATAAAGCGAAAAGAGGAAATAACTTGATGAGTAAAGTTCCCGCTGTTTCTTGTCTTCCCGCGAGAATGTTTACATGAAGGGAAAGGACAACGAGCGTATACGTACATATTCAAATATTTTGCTATACAATGTCGATATATTTATCTATTAATGTCCTTTTATTGTTATCTATTTAGAAATATAGTTATAGATGAGATGGTTGTAAATAATGACTTTGATATTTGAATTTCAAGGGATGGATACGACTCTCTTTATATTTAAATTGTGCTGATATTGCAACATCTTAATATAGAACACTTTATCAGTACTACTTTTCGTATTATTATTTTATACATTATACGAAAATGAACTAGTAATCATATGATCTTAGTTCACACACATAACGAGCCTATATTTTTAAATGTTAATGATTTTCTTTACATATATTTTCATATTGCATTCCTATTGTATAAACGCAAATATGGTTCACTAGGATTTATATTCCCTAAATTTGAGATGTGTTTACAATTAGTGTTAGTTTCTCGTCCTCTTTCATCTGCATAATCGTCATAATCTTTTCAAACGTTATATTATGTAAAAAAAAAAGAATCATCGTGGTTTAAATAAGCCTACTATGGCAATGATATTGACTAAAGCGATAATAATACTAATCTTAATAAAAAGCTATCATGATACTGGTGATGATAGTGATGATATTGATATTGGTAAAAATAATATGACAATGCAAATTTCATTAATAATAATAATGATGATGATAAGAATGATAGTAATGATAATGATAATCTGATAATGATGGTAATAGCAAACACAAGAATAACGATAAAACATAATAATAATAATAACAATAATAATAATAATAACAACAACAATAACAGCAACAACAACAATGATAATAACAACAATAATAATAATAATAACAATAATGACAATAATAACAATAATAATAATAATAAGGCCTAGATATGTGTACGACAGCCATATCCGCTTTCTCGTGGTTAGGCGTATAGCATACACATTCGTAAGCGCATATTAACGACAATAAGTACGCTTACCTAATTCAACCTAACCTAAACCAACACAACCTAACCAAATCCAACCTAACCTAATCTAACCTTAACCTAACCCAGACCAACCCAACCTACCCTAGACCAACCTAACCTAACTTACCCTTACTAACCTAACCTAAAACAACCAAACCTAACCTTACTAACCTAACCTAAACCAACATACCTAACCTAACCTTACTAACCTGGGCCTCACCTAACCTAACCTAACCTAACCTAAACCTACAACCTAACCTAACCTAACCTTAACTAACCTAACCTAACCTAAGCCAACATAGCCTAACCTAATCCAACCCAACCTAACCAAAGCTAACCTAACTTAAGCCAACTAATCCTAACCTACTCTAACTTCACCCTAACCTAACCTAACTCTAACCAAAACCAACTGAACCTAACCTAACACTAACCTAACTTCAACCAACCTAACCTAACCTAATGTAACGTAACCAATCTAACGACCAACCTAACCTAATCTAACAACTCGAACCTAATCCAACCTAACCTAAACCAACCAAACCTAACCTAAATAAACAACCTACTAGCCTAACCTAATCCAGCCTAACCTAACCTAAACCAACCTAGCCTAACTTAATCCAGCCTAACCTAACCTAAACCAACCTAGCCTAACCTAATCCAGCCTAACCTAACCTAAACCAACCTAGCCTAACCTAAATCCTAACCTAACCTAACCTAACTAGCCCTAGCCTACCCTAATCCAAACCTAACCTAAACCAACCTAGCCTAACTAATCCAGCCTAACTAACCTTAGCCTAATTAATCCAGCCTAACCTAACCTAAAACCAACCTAGCCTAACTAATCCAGCCTAACCTAACCTAACCTAAACCAACCTAGCCTAACAATAACCTAACCTAAACCAAACCCTAACCTAATCCAGCCTAACCTAACCTAACCTAACCCCAGTAATCCAGCCTAGCCTAACTTAATCCAGCCTAACCTACCTAAACCAACCTAGCCTAACCTAGCCTAACCTAATCCAGCCAAACCTAACCTAAACCAACCTAGCCTAACTTAATCCAGCCTCCTAGCCTAACCTAACCTAAACCAACCTAGCCTAGCAGAGCCCTAAGCCTAACCTAACCTAAACCAACCTAGCCTAACCTAATCCAGCCAACCAACCTAGCCTAACTAAACCTACCCTAAACCAACCTAGCCTAACTTAATCCAGCCTAACCTAACCTAAACCAACCTAACCTAACCTAATCTAACCTAACCTTAACTAAACTAACTTAATTGAGCTTGGTATCATCTTATGTCGAGACGCCACATGTTTTTGTTTCACCACGCATGTGCCGTACCAATAGTCATTTTCTTTTAAATGATAATGATAACAATGATAATAATGACAACAACAACAACACTTATCATAATAGAAATTAGAATAATAACGGTATTTTATTGATAATGATGAAGATAACAATAATGGTGATAATAATAACAATAATGTAATAAATATAATAATAGTAATAAGTAATGATGATAATTATAGCGATAAAGATAAAGATGATAATAATTATAATGATAATGGAAATAACAATAAGAATAATAACAGTAACAATATGATAATAACAATAATAGTGAAAATGATAGTGACAACAATATTTGTAGTAATAATGAAAATGGTAATGATCATTATAATAATAACAGTAATAATAATGATAATAATAACGATATTGATAATAATGATAATGCTGATTATGATTATGATTATCATTTGATTTATTATTACCTTTATCATTATAATTATTACTCGTGTTATCATTATTACTACTATTATCATTATCATTATTATCATCATTATCATTATCATTATTATTATCATTATTATTATTATTATATTATTATCATTATCATTATTATTATTATATTATTATTATATATATTATTATTATATATTATTATTTATTATTATTATTATTATTATTATTATTATTATCATTATTATATTATTATTATTATTATTATCATCATCATCATCATCATCATCATCATCTATTATTATCATCATAATTAACATTATCCGCCCGTGGAAATTCATTTTAAAGTTGCCGATTCCTGGTTAGTGTAAAGTTATAAAAAAAAATGCGACTAAAACGTTCGCTTTCGACCAGACGCAGAATGAACAAAAAAAAAAAAAAAAAAAAAAAACGACGATTAAAAAAAAAACAGCAAAAAAAGAAAAAGCAAAAAAAAAAAAAAAAAAAAAAAAAAAATAGACACGTTACCTAATGATAACACAGACAGCTACCGTTAAAAAAGTTCTGTCGCAATCGCTATACAGATGATCATGAAGAGTATTAGATAGTATTATCACTAAGTATTATGAGATAATAAAAGAATCGCGGTTGGTAGGTGTGGGCGTGCGGGCGTGTTAGATCCTCGTGGGCGGAGGTGCACGCCCTGGCTGCCGGTCGTGACAGGAATAAATAGGTTTCTTTGAAAGGAAAAACTTCAATAACAATAAGGGTGATGATGATAATGTTAATAAAAATGTTATGATATTGACGGTAGTAGTAGTACTAATGATGATGATAATGATAGTGATGGTAATGATATAATAATTGCTATGATATATTTATGTATGTATGAATGTATATTATATATATATATATATATATATATATTATATATATTATATATTATGTGTGTGTGTGTGTGTATGCATGTGCATGTACATATATATATATAATATATATATATATATATATATATATATATATATATATATATATATATATATATATATATTATGTATGTTGTATGTATATATATATGTATATATGTATATATATAATCTTATATATACATTTCTGTATGTATGTATGTATGTATATCTATCTATCTATCCATATATATATATATATATATATATATATATATATATATATATGTGTGTGTGTGTGTGTGTGTGTGTGTGTGTGTGTGTGTGTGTGTGTGTGTGTGTGTGTGTGTTGTGTGTGTGTGTGTGTGTGTGTGTGTGTGCGTGACTGTGACTTTGTGGTCGCATTCTGTCCATGTACGTGGGCGTTTGTCTGCATAATACATGAGATATAACTTCACAACATTCATTTATGTAGTTAATTTTTTCGAAAAGAAAGAATCAGAAGAATGAAAGAGAGAGAAAGAAGTAGAAGAAAAAAGGAGAATGTAGAATGAAGCGAATGAATGGAGTAGAAGAAAATGGAAAAAGACAAATAAGAAAGAAGTAAGAGAAAAGGGGAAAAGAAATAAATAGAAAGAGAGAGAAAGAAACGAAAAAAAAAATGAAAATTAGAATGGAAGAAATGAAAATTAGAGGGAAAAATGAAAACAGTAGAAGGCAAGAAAAAGTAGGACCACCAAAAAGAAGAAATAAAACAAGACGAAAACAAGAAAAGAGAGAAGAAAGTAAAAGAAAAGGAAAAGAAGGAAAGGAAACGCATATGGCAACACTGCGGGAGATTTCAGTGAGTTGACGTAGTTATCTGTTTCAAGTCGCGCTCTCGGCCTCTCTCTCAGTCCCTTTTCGTCTCTCTCTCTCTCCCTTTTCGTCTCTCTCTCCGTCCCTTTTCGCTCGTCTCTCTCTCTCTCTCCCTTTTCGTCTCTCTCTCTCTCTCTCCCTTTCGTCTCTCTCTTCTCTCTCCCTTTTTCGTCTCTCTCTCTCTCTCTCTCTCTCTCTTCTCTCCCTTTTCTCTCTCTCCGTCCCTTTTCGTCTCTCTCTCTCTCCCTTTTCGTCTCTCTCTCTCTCCCTTTTCGTCTCTCTCTCCGTCCCTTTTCGTCTCTCTCTCTCTCTCCCTTTTCGTCTCTCTCTCCTCCCTTTTCGTCCTCTCTCTCTCTCCCTTTTCTCTCTCTTCTCGTCTTTCGTCTCTGTCTCTCTCTCTCTTTTCTCTCTCTCCGTCCCTTTTCGTCTCTCTCTCTCTCTCCCTTTTCGTCTCTCTCTCCGTCCCTTTTCGTCTCTCTCTCTCTCCCTTTCTCTCTCTCTCCGTCCCTTTCGTCTCTCTCTCTCTCTTTT